TTCTTCATCTATCCTTTCCTATATAGAAAATCTTAAATCTTGTATTTTCTACATTCTTTACCTTCTCACATACCCACTTAGTTTCTTGTAAGCATGTTATACTAATTTTTTCCCTGCTCATAGTGTCTACTAATTCCATTGTTTTGCGGGTGAGTGTACCTATGTTTCCATATTGCTATTTGAAGTCTATCATCGTGGACTAGCTTCCTTACCCTCCATGTCCATCCATGGTGCGGAGACCCTTGCCTATTTATCATCACACCCAGGAGCCGATTCGGTGCCCATAACTTATTTGTCAAAACGCCTCGAGGCAGGCGCAACGCGTCACTTATGGGGAACAACCTAGCATTAGCGCATATATCATTATTTAGACACATCATAGTAGATTCGACAAAATTTTACGTTACCTGTAAGCTAACTAATGCAACCCTCCTCCTTTATTCTAGCTTGGTTCAAACAGTTTTCAATACAACACTGGCGGAGTTAATCAACATAATGTACATGATGTAGAAAAAATACCAACTTACCAAACAAAGCACGGGCAAGGCTGTTGTTCTCTATGTATTCATATACAAGATTTGGGTACTCTAAGCCAGAAACAGTGCCTATTTCATTTACAAACTTGCAATTTTCTTGCCTTGATTTCGAAGAAAGTTGCATAACAGCAATTACAGTACCGCCTAACAATACACCCTGCAACAGAAAAAACTGTAGTTTTAAGTGGTCGTGTGTGCCTAACTTCCATCTCCATGTGCTTTAACCACATGAAACTGCAAACAAAAGCACAAGATTACTACAAGTAGCTAAAAGGTAAAAGAAAAAGAAGAATCTAGATTGATTTATACCTTATAGACATATCCAAAACCACCTTCTCCATGTTTTCTGCATCGAAGTTGTTTGTGGTAGCTTTAATAGTTGGGATTATTATAGAAAATAGGTATATAATTAGATTATATTAAATTTATAAAGTCTAACTTATGCACTAATCTAAACAGAATGTATGGTAAGCAAAAATAGTGCACTCACAGGGACACAAATCTGCACGAACAATAAAATAAGAAAACCAAAATATTCAATTTGACCCTGGTGAAACACAATGTCCTTAAGACATATTTTCTCCCTCTCAATACTCAAGGTTGATGAGCAACTACCACCCAAGATAAAATGGATTATGTCTATGCAGAAGTTGCACTTCAATCTCTAAAGACCAATGAACACAACTTATATTTTATACTTGAATCGAACCAAAAGGATAATACAACAATATGCACAAATAGAGAGAGAAGAAGAAAAAGAAGAAATTCTGAAACTGGAATCCATAATTGCAATGGATTGAAATAGTAATAGGACAGTCTGTTTATAGAAGAGACACACACTTTAATTTGAACAGGTAAAAGACACCTCTTAGAATGAACCAGACCCATTTTGGCTCCAAATTCAAAGTAACGGGAATAAAATTTTAAAATCTAGTAGGACTTTAAATTTCGGTTGGGATTTTAATTTTGATCCGTGTTCGGATCCAATTGGTTTGGTCCATGATCCACACCACTCCAAATAAATTTTATCCAAAAAGATTATATATTTTTGGCCCAAACCCATGCTCGAGCCCTACTGGGAAGGGTCGTGGTCATTTTGAGGCTGGTGGCACATGTGTGATAACCTTGGTAGTGTAGGTGTTTGCTCTGCTCATAAAAGCGTGGTACCCTTTGGGGCCCAACCCATAAAATCAACTAGGAGTATATTAACTCAATGCAGGACAAGTCTTATTCTATTATATTTATCTTAGTTTATTTCACCACTTTAAATGGGTTATTTTAGAACATAATTTCTAATTCAATATTTAATGGATTTAGACAAATAAATATACGACATTCATCTCCTCACAGAGAAAAATGCATTTAAACTTGATCCCACTAATTTCGAGATGTAGGTCCCACTTTTATTTAAGTGTCAAGTTACTCACATAATATTGTTTAAAATCATTTTTTTCTATAGGGATTAAATTATTCACGGTTGTCCCATAAACCAAATAAATACAGACCGTGAATAAATTATTCACAGTTGTCCCTTAAATCAAATAAATACGGACAGTCAGTGATCTTTTGAGCCTTCAGCAGCTATCGCTTTTTTTTTTTTTTGAACTCTCACTTCAGCAGTAGTCATTAAATGCAATATAAACACATTCAAAGAGTCTGTATGATACACAGTGACCAAAGTGGTGAGATATCTTTACATTAGACCTTGGTTAAGTTTGAGTGGGTCCACCAAAGTTAGTTTACAACCCAAATGAACAAAAGAAAAAAGTTACTTTCTGAATTTTTGGGTTCTTACCCAAATGAACAAAAAACAAGTCACTTTGCAAATTCTCCGGTCCGGCGTCAAGTTTTCCCATGGATTTTTTGGGTTCTAACCCGATTTCTTGGATTGTCCACGTCCAACAAATTTCGACAATAATAACGGAGAAATTAGAAGAAGGATTTCAAAAAAAAAAAGAAAGATATTACAAATCCTTCTCTATTGATCCTACACATGAGTAATGAATTGTAATTCGAGCACAAACTAAATTTGTTGTTTATCGTATTGTTTATGTGAAATTCTTCAACAAATTTATAGTTACTAATAATTTATACATTTTTCTAATATAGTTACTAAGTTGAAAATTTTCAACATGTCAAATTTTCAATTTTATGTGTCACATCAATTAATATAATTGGTTGTTTTGCTTATTTCCAAAATGAGAGATCGTAGTAATGAAACTTATAGAAAATTAAGGTAAACTTAATGAGTTTGGTCATGATCCTCCGAAAATATATCCATCACCAAGATGAATCAAAATTTGTAGTTCCAAAAAATATAACAGGTTAAAAGAAACTGAGATCAATTACATAATGATAACTACAATTCGTTTATGTTCTAAACGAATATGGATGGATCCAATTCTCTCTCATATATGTTTACTAGGAGTCATTCATATTTGAAGATACAATGTAATATGAATGATTTTGAGAGAGATGTCGGTGACCGTTAGATGAACATATTTGAGACTGTAGGACAAACCTATTGATGCCTTTTTATATTATAGATGTGTTGTCTTCGTAATCAGATCATATTTTAAGTAACATGTAAGTGATTTTTATTTTTTTTGGTCAAGGTAAGTAACTTTATTTAAACACTCCCAAACAAAAGTGGACCTATTTTAATGTACAGGCCATTAAAGGAGCTTTAAAGACTGGGATGTCGGTTGAATTTGAACCATATCCTATGGGAACAAAGCCACAATTCATATGAAGATCAAGTCTGAATCTGAGACTCAAATCAAGAAAACACTCTACACTTACTTATAATAGAAGAAGACAAATGAGAAAAAATCAAACACATCAAAAGACACATAATCTATATATATAGAACCCCAAAATCTGGAAAAAAAAATGAAAATTGCAAGACAGACAGGACAAGATGCCGGAGCACTTGCACAATGAATTCCAACGGACGGCAAACGTCCTTATGTTTTCCTTTTGCTTTTTTTTCTTTGTTTTTTCATTTGGGTTGTAAATAAACTTTGTTGAACCCACTCTCACTTACCCAAGGTCTAGTTTAAAGTTATCTCACCACTTTGGTCACTGTGTATGATGTTGACTTTTTTGTTTTGTTTGTATTGCATTTAATGACCGATAGTTGCTGAAGTGAGACTTGAAAAACATAAGAGATGACTGTCGAAGTGTCAAAAGATAATTGGTTGTCTGTATTTATTTGGCTAATTTTATATCATAATTACGTCTTGAAGTGTCTGCGCGTGATAGTTATACCGTTATGTTTTTATTTTTTTATTTCTTTTTTCTTTTTTTATTTGTATAACAAATCTCACGCCTGCCTTATTTTTATTTCTTACATATTTTTTAACTCGTTTCTATTACATCATTTATTTGTGGCACTGTTCATGTACCATAATTTACACATTAATATTTTTTTTAAGGTAACATTTTGAGAAAATTTTGTCGATTTTTTTGTAAAATAATGAGTAAAAATTAATTTCAAAAAATGTAATTAAAAAAAGGACAGAAAAAAAATTACTATTTAATATAGTGATATCAATTTTTTTAATGATTAGATTGTATATTGCATCACATTTAAGTACAAATTATAACTAGTAAATAAAAAAGTGATGAAATGCTAGTTCCCCGTGGCCTTTCTAAATGGCTCACAACCTACAACCTAATCCCACAGCCCAATAATCAATTAGGCCATGGGTTATTTCGCCCCATTTTGCATGGGTCTTACTTATAACGTTCAAAATCACACACAAAAAAGTCTCTTTTTTTATAAACATCGAAGAATGTAAATATAATTTATGATAAGTTTAAAAGAAATGTCTTCGATTCTAGTTGATAACACCATAAATCATAATTCAACTTCACACATTATAGTTCAACTAGACCGACCTGTCTCGGGCCATCCAAGGTAAGTATACCAACTCCCAACTCACTAAACGATACTCAATCAACTCAACTTCACCACGCCAACTCGAATCTAGCTATTTTAAAGAGAGGAAGAGCTCAACCAACCAATCCTACTTTGGGCAGCAAGCTACCGCTTCAAGAGAGATACACGTTTCCTGTGAATATGATTGTCTCTAACAGTTAAATATTCCCGAATGATTTTAACGGATTGAGGGGACCACACAATCATGGAAGAAAACAAAAACCTACTCCTGTATAAATAAAAATGGATGTCCTACTGCAAAAGGATCGAAACATCTGTAATTAATTACCCTCTTCTTCTTCTCCAAGCAATACAACAAACACAGAACTAAGAGACTCAATTGATATTAGACTAGCCTAACTACTTACATTCTGGTTCTATTTCCTCACTATGTGGTTGATCATACAAGCAATTCACATGCACAATTATTCATCATTCAAAATCCTTTCATCCAAAAAAAGTAAATATCTACATAGTTTATGAAGCAAAAAGAAAATATCTGATTGTACATTGGATACTACTACAAATTAAGCATAGTTTCTGAAGCAAGACAAGAATAACTGTCATTTATCATTTCATGTAATCCTTTTTAGCCATTACACTAATAAATTCTTGATCATCCAACTGTCACTGTGCTCTTGATTTCAATTGCACCATGGTCATGATTCTTAATGGAAAAAGAAAAAATGCATATTTCGGCTTCCTTAGGACAAAAACTTAAAAAATAGCTCAACAAGCAATCTATTTATGGACCATCAAAGCATAATTCTCCCTCCTCAATATGAAGAACCAAGACTAATTGGGTAGAGATCTTGGGTGGTGGTGGAGGAAGAACCACCGTGTATTTTGTGTGATGAAGGGTTAAGGATCTCAGTTTCACTGGAGTTTCGGAGTTCCAACTCTTCATACTTGTCTCTGAGGGCTTGGAACTTCAATTCATCGTCATAAATACTTGGATCCATGTTTAGTTCCTGAACAGTAACATGACCTTCAAGCATGCTCACTACGGCAGACATGTTAGGCCTAAGTGCCGGTGACGGATTAGTGCACAATAGAGCTGTTTTAATCATTCTCATTGCCTCTTCCTTGTTGAAGTTAGAACCCAACCTTGGATCTATTAGCTCCATCAAACTTCCTTTACGTTGCAAAACAAGAGCCTGAAACAAGCATAAAAGCTAATGACAGTTATTAGGTATTCGACTTGTGGTAAAATAGGAGTATTTATTTAATACTCCCTTCACGAATGACACCCCTTGGGTGATCCGTCCACGTGGTTTGGTTGTATACTAAGCGAGTTGTTGGTGGTGTAGTTTGAACGCAAGATTCCTAGAAGTTAGTCCACCAACAACCCTAAAAGCTTAAACCGATAGAAAGGGGTGCAACAAAAGTACTCATTCATACTTGAATGTGTGTCATGTCTACTATAAAACTAACAGTTTGGATTCGCATTGAGGGATGCATAGTAAAGAATTTGTTTTGGTTTCGTTATCTTTTTAAACTGCAAACATGACTAATTTTAGTTTTTCAAATATAAGAAGTCCCTAGCTCATGACACTTAAAGAACATTAGTAATTGTTTTTTCTTGTTAGTGAAGACAAAATACTGATGCCCCAGATAGGCTGGTTGAAAAGTTCAACTTCTAATGCACCCAAGCACAGTAGTCCATGCTGAATAGTTCAAAATAAGGAAGACATTTTAGGGACGATTTCTATTTGCCATAATGTTAGGGCTGGAAGTGTATTTCTTTTTCTTTTAGGTTTATTATAAATCTTTTACGGTTATGGTCAAGTTTTGCTGTCTAGCATTAAGATTGTCAATGAGATCTATTTTTCAAATAGGAGTCTAGGAACTTTTGATATCTTTTGTGGCAGGTCTCTAGAGAGTGCAACTGCATTGTTTGGAAAAATAATGCTTATATGGCAGCTGCTTGTAATGCCTATTGATATATGATTGATATAGCAAAAAAAAAAGAACAAAAATGATGACTTGTGATTTAACAAAGAATATGACATTTGGTAGAGCACAATATGACGCACCAAGATTCATGTAATCGATCCCAAATAAGTGAGATAAGGCTTTATTGAGTTGAGTCATAAATCTTGTGTGAGCGCTAGTGATAATGTCAATAAACAGGGGCTCATAAACGCATAAACTATACGCCAATGGGTAGGGAAGAACAGAAAGAAAACCAAAAACTATACACCAAAGGGTAGGGAAGAACAGCAACAAGACATGCAAAGAAGTAAATTTTCTTACCCAGTCAAGTAGACAAACATAATTCCCATCAGGACGATATTTCATGTTGTTCATTCCAGCAACAATTTCCAATGCAACAACCCCAAAACTATACACATCTGCTTTGTAGGTCAAGTAACCCCATAGTGCATACTCTGGTGCCATGTATCCTCTGCCAAAAATGCAAATACTTAGTAATTTACTAGTATTATTTGACTTTAAATAACTTTTATGAACTCTTACGTACAAGAATTCCCAACATAGACGATAATTCAAGCACAACAAGCTAACTAGTTTTTATTGTTGATGAGCAATTTCATGTTAATTCAAAAAACAAGGTTAGAACAATATGATGAGATGTCCAGTGTTACCTTGCGCTTGTTCTTGAAATGAAATAAGTTTTGTCAGCTAAGAAAACTTCTTCTTGAGAAGAATTTTTATTTTTGTCAGATTTTTTACTTTAACTATACAAGGAGAAGCAATGATAAAATCTTTTAACCAAGCAAAGCATTGAGATATATATTTCAAGAAGAACATGCTAGTGGTAGAGTACTCTCAAGGGAAAGACAAAACGAAAAACTCACATAGTTCCGGCGACTCTGGTGCTGATGTGAGTGTTCTCCTCTTCATCGAGTTTCGCTAGACCAAAGTCAGAGATCTTTGGGTTGAGGTCTCTATCAAGTAGAACATTGGTAGCCTTAATGTCTCTATGAACAATTTTCAGTGTTGATTCCTCGTGCAGGAAAGCCAGTCCCCTAGCTATGCCAATACAAATTCTTTGCCTTGTAGGCCATTCTAGTTCAATTTGCAAGTGCTCTGGACCTTCAGTTTACATTGATAGCCTTTAGAGAAAAAATCTACCAACTTTCAAAAACAAGTGAAGAAAAAAGATTAACAAAGCCGATTGTCAGTGAATGTAGTCTTGCTATTTAATTACCATACTTCATATAATCAACATAATGTACATGATGTAGAAAAAATACCAACTTACCAAACAACACACGGGCAAGGCTGTTGTTCTCCATGTATTCATATACCAATAGTAATTGATTTCCTTCGATACAACATCCATACAATCTCACAAGATTTGGGTGCCCTAAGCCAGAAACCATGCCTATTTCATTTACAAACTCACGATTTCCTTGCCTTGATTTGGAAGAAAGTTGCTTAACAGCAATTACAGTACCATCTAACAATACACCCTGCAACAGAAAAAACTGTAGTTTTAAGTGGCCGCATGTGCCTAACATCCATCCCCATGTGCTTTAACCACAGGAAATTACAAAGAAAAGCATAAGACTACTACACGTAGCTAAAAGGTACAAAGAGAAAGAAGAATCTGGACTGATTTATACCTTATAGACAGATCCAAAACCACCTTCCCCAATCTTGTTTTCTACATCGAAGTTGTTTGTGGCAGCTTTAATTTGGCGGAAGGTAAATAAACCGGTTTGCAAATCTAATCCTCGCAAATCTGTAAGCAAGTTCGAGAAGTTAAACTGCATCTTACAAAGTAGTAACTCTGCATCCTTACTGGTCATCTCTCTCTCTCTCTCTCTCTCTCTCTCTCTCTTTCTCTCTCTCATGCACAAACCTGCTTAGTGATCATTTTAGAAAAATGAATAATCTATGCTTTAGTATTATAAATTTTCAGTCCCTAAGTTGGATGATTACCACGCTCTCCATGGCATAGTAGGAATTCAATTTGTTTTCACACTAGAAAATTGAATCATCAAAGAGCTTTTTTCACATATATGGATGATTATATATAAGTTTTTTTCCTTCTCCATTCCGAATTAAAACTCATGCAGTAGAGCTTCACCACCTTGTTCCCTTGAGTTGCTGCCTCCCATACAGCCTTTCCACCAAAGAATAAGGAGAACTGTGAGAATTATACATAATACCAAAGCTGCGACTCCAACTGCAATGAATACCTTCGTTTTTCCATCAGGTGGAGGCTTGAAATCTATGCAATGGATAAATCAACTGTTAGATGCTTGCAGTGATGTGCACCCATACATGCTTTTACCTTTCCTTTAAATAAAAAGAATTGAAGTAATAAGGAAGCTATTGGATTTAAATGCAATGGGTTTAGAGTAGTTGAGATAATACTTATGAAAGGTTTAAGTTAGTGATTGAGCAAGTGGCAGGGTGTATCAATTGGAAGATTATATTATATGTATTCAATTACATGTTAATATGGTGGTGTATGTGTGTCAAGAAGAGTTGTTAAAAAAAAGAAAGAAAAGGGATTGGACTTTTCTTTTAAGTTGCAGAACGTGGAAGAGTTTGTAGGTTGTAGAAGACAAAGTCTAGAAATTACATAATTCACCCATTTGATTTAAAGAGTTTATTTTGACCCTTATATTCTCCTAAACTTATTTTTAACCACTTTTTTACTTGGTTAGTGGCAATATAGAATTTTGAAAAATTTATGGCAATCCCCAAAATAGAATATTCATTTTTGTTTAGAAAAATTACACTTTGACCCCAAAAGTTTTGAAACTTATGATTTGACCCAAAACTTTATAAACTTTTTCTAAACTGCCCAGGTTACTTTCATACCCTATTAGCTCACATTAAAAATGTTATTTCTACATAAATGATATATAAAGTATATACCAATGGGTAGGAAGTATAAAAATTAAATATATAATCGCAAAATGACGAAATTATGAAAAGTGATTGATTGATATATGTTATTTTGGATTAGATGGTGATTCTATTGAGGTTGGGAAAGAGGGTTTTGAATTGGATTTTAAAAATTAAGGTGAATAATTTACTACTTCTTTTAGTAGGATTTTTTATATTAAACTTGTGGGTGTGGGTGTGGGTGTGTGGGTGTGGATATTTCATATATATGATAAATATGTTGATGTTTAGGTTTACAATTAAATGTTTTGCAATTGTGAATTATTATACATGTGAATTTTGAAAACTTGTGGGATGATTTTATATCATTGCTTAAATGTGTTTTGGTAATGAAAAGGAACTTTTGTGTGCGTTAGGACTGAAACGATAGTTTTGGTGCGTGTTAAAATTATGCTTTATGAGACGGGGACTAGATTACCAAGTCTAAATAATAACGATATTGAAGGTGTATCGGTGTGATCGGTATAGGGATATGCACATAAGGGTCATTCATCAGGCTAGTGATGACAAGAGACGGTACCAGTTACCAGGTTAGTGGTGATAATAGACGAAGCCAGTTACCAAGCTAGTGGTGATAAAAGACATAGCTAGTTATCAGGCTAATGGTAACAAATATGATATAACAAATGTATTTAGGACTACATGTGTGTGTGAGTGTTTTAGGTTATAAATGTCTTTTCATTATAAAGTTATTTGTGAAAATGAGTGGGCGTTTGAGGTTATAAATGTCTTTTCATTTATAAAGTTATTTGTGATCATAAGATCATTTTGTTTAAATGATTATATAAGAGGGGTTAGGTATAATTTGTTGTACTTATATATATATATATCAAAGTTTATTTTTGTATATAAACTATAGGACTTATTTTCACACCTCATTAGAGGTGGTTGCTATTCACGGACCGTTGTGCTCATACAAACATTTAACATTTTCAGGAGAGTATCAAGGTGAGGAGTAAGTCCTCAGATAGATAAAAGATTAGAGGATTTAAAGATTATTTTTATTGTAAGTCTTCAAGAATAAATATATTTTATAGTTTTGAGA